TATATATATATATATATATATATCTTTTTAATCTCTATACTTACAATTTTTTTAGTCTTTAGTGTTATTTTTTTTAATATTATCTATTTGATGTTAACGTAGTAGAAGTCTTTAATTTTGTATGTATAAAAAAATGATGTTTCAACAATGTTCATCACAAGTGAAGATAAAAAGAGACATGAAACATAAAAATACTTAATTTAGAGTAATTTTAACAAAATAAATTCATCATTAAATACATGAAGAAAGAGATAACATTACAAAAAAAAATATAACAATAAAGATTAATAAGATTAAAAAAATATAAGTATATGAAATAAAAAAATTAATCTTAAATTATAAAAATTAAAAATAATTAAAAAATTTAAATATAGAAATTAAAAAATTTAAAATTTTCTTACTTAATGGCGGAAAAGTTACAGTACCTTTTAAATAATTTTAGCTATTAAATTCTTGACATAAATCAGATTAAGACACGTGTATATTTAAGTAAAAATATCCGTTATTGGATTTGGATGCAAGAGGGTCAACAACTTTGGATTTTTTTTTAAAACACAAATCAAATACATTTCAGAATATTTTTAAAAGTAATTTATGTTACCTTTCTTAGAAGATGATATAATATTATATTATTTTTTAATATTATGTTAAAATATATAATTTAATTTATTTAATTTAATATTATTAATAGAAATTACACTTTTTTCTTTTAAGAGGTGTAAATATTACACAATTCATCTCTATTCATTAAAATATCAAAAATTACACTTTTATTTATTATATATACAAGTATTATATTATCAATCTCCTATTAATTTAACATTGTTAAATAATAATCATCATAATTCTAATGACCCGCTTAGCCGTCACACAACAAACAACACCGTGCAGAATAGAGCATGCATATATAAAAATAAAGTATATGCACATAAGTCTAGCCTGTGGCTCAATATATCAATATACAAAATACAGCCAAAATAGCTACACTAAGTAGCCAATCAACAAAACATCAACTCCATCTGCTAGCTACAGACCTGCCTCAATACACCAACCTATCTCTGCTCTGCTCTCATACACAGTATGATCATTGCAGTCCAAATTACATGAAAACAACAAGGGTAAGCTAGTGAAAAGAATCAACATATATATGTATAAAAATTATAAACAGCTACAGCTTATCAGCACATCATTAAGTTCAGCAAGATCAACATACAACACATCACATATACAACTAACATCATTCAGCAAAAACAACATTAAACAAACAATGCGTCGTCACGCATATCAGCTCGGAGATCTCCTACAACAACTTAGCCTTACGGCCTACAACAGTTTATATTCAGCATTTAGCACAACATAACATAGCAGCATTAACAACATACAACATACGGCACAACTCAACTTTTTCAACAATACAACTTAAACATCATAATTCAGCATGAACATCTCACAGCACAACACAATCATCACTCAGCTCAACAACATTCATCATTAACAGCTTAGATCATCATATATCAGCATATATCAGAATATTAAAGAAAGAACACATTCGCGCTCGGCGCAAGAGTACTCGCGCCCGGCGTGGACCAACCAGAGAGCTCCAAGGCTCAAACGCGCCCGACGCAATACCAATTACGCCCAGCGCAATTGAAGGCAGAGACTCTCAGGAGTCTCACCTGCCCGGCGTACCAAACCCGCGCTCGACGCAAGTAAGGCAGAGACCTCCTCCAAGGTCTCACGCCCGGCGCAATACCAATTGCTCCCGGCGCCACCCCTGGCAGAGACACCCTAGGAGTCTCCACGCCCGGCGAGACGTAATCACGCCCGGCGCCATACCAGAACCCCAAAAAGGTGAGTCCCTGTCTGATATCACGCCCAGCGCGGTTCCCCACGCCCGGCGTGAGCCATCCAGGGGCCTCCATTCCCAAGCTCGCCCGGCGCAACCAGCCTCGCTCCCGGCGTGCTTGACCAATGGGACCCTCTGATGGTCACGCGCCTAGTGCCAAGAACTACGCCCGGCGCCCTATCACACAACAACCCTCAAACTTCAAAAAATTTCACCAAAACCTGCAAAAATAAGCAATCCAAGCACATGCAATCCATTCAAAGAACCACATTTTCATCAAATACCTCAAAAATCGTCCATTTTTCGACATGCAACCATCAAAACATAAAAACCCCAAATTTTCACCCTTTTTCCCGAAACCCCGAAAACACCATTTTCTTCAAATCAGTCCATCCATCTACTGAAAATCAACCACACATGAGTTTATAAACTCATTTCCAACCAATCCAGCGAAAATCTAACTTCCCTTACCTCGGAGGAGAAGATTCCGAGCTTTTGGGAAGAGAGCGAGAGAAAAAGGAGAAAGAGAAAAGAAAGTCCGCACCTCAGCAAGCTTCCAAACACTTACTCAGCACCTATGCTCACCACAGCCACCACAATGAAGTTTAGCAAAGGAGAAGAGAATGAGAAAGCAATTTCAAGAGTGAAAAGAGAAAAGGGCAAGAGAGGAGTGTTGAGTGGGAAAGAAAGAGAAGCGGAAGGGGAGTCTCACAATAATATTTTAAAAAATTAATTTAATTATTTATAAAAAAAATATTTTTTTAATTAAAATATAATTTAAAATATTTTTATTCATTCTCATTCATTCACTTGATTAAAAAAATTTAAGATACTAATGATTAAAATTACTTGAAAGGTTTTTGCTCTTAGTTAGAAAATCTAAATCCACTAAAAAAATCTATTTAAATTATAACAAGTAAAAGGTAAAATAAATCTATTTAAATTATAAAGAATAAAAAGTAAAATAAATGAAATTATAAAAAGTAAAAAAATATTTTTACCTAATTTTTTTTATTGAATTAGTCTACGTACGTGACACTTTCTTTTACAGTGTAAAAGGTTTAGGTGAGTTTAAAAATAAGCTTCATATCTTATACGAGGTACAGTGACTTGTGATTAAAAAAAAATTAGTTTTACACCACCAAATCAAAGGAAAAGAGAGAAAAGATTGATAAATTAGATTCAGAAAAAAATTTAGTAAGGATTTAAACTAAATCATAATTGCATGAAAATCAACTTTTTTACATGCTAATTATAAACTCCATTAATCATAAAAAGACTGATATAAGAAAAGAGTTATTTTCATGGATCCAAATCCAGCGACAAATTCTTCTCGAGTAAGGAATCTAGAAATTAAAGCAGAGAAGAGTCAGCTTCTGATACCATGCTCATTTCTTCAACATAAAGCCTTTAGAAAAAGCAACACAACAGAAATTAAAGTATGACAATTACGAAGCACAGCATAATGCATGAGAAACTCTTAACGATGTGACAAAATATAGTGTCAAAGTTTGGCAATGGTACTTTCTCTAGATCCGTGTAATGTGATCCTTAATCCAATTCCTGATTTTTTGAGGAACACCATAGTCGTAGGTAACCAATATGAACAGTCCAACCCACATGGCCAAAGCAATCCAAGCAACAGTGGTTGAGATGAAGCTCAAAGCTAGAAACGAAGCAAAACCTCCCACAATAAGCATGGCACAAATCATGATTGGAAGAAAGCTACCGTTATATATCTGAAGTATTGTCCCAATGATAGCAAAGGAAGAGTACAAGACTATGGTCAAAAGTAGAGGCTTCATCAGCTTGTGCTGTTCAACAAACAATATTTTTCCCGAGTCAGTGTTTGTTGCTACTATCAAGGCAATCAGCAATGTTAAGAATCTGTTGAGGATCTCCTGCAATTCCTTGAAGAGATTGAACAATTGGTCCCTAAGCACAATCATTAAGGGAAAATAAAAGTTAAGACATTTGCTAGAATTAGAATTATGATGTAATCTTGCTAGAAACACAGCATGCAACTCAATGCAAAATTTGACAGAAAAGGAAAGAGTATATGTTATATAAGCATGGTAAATAATTATGAACTTGTGGGAATTGAACTCGGCTCTGACTTTGACAGAAAAAATGGTTTTGATAAATTGAGTGGTGTTTGGATATTTCCCTAATTTTTTAAGCATGGTGGGTTGCTGAATCCGCACACTAAGACCGTGTTTGCTTTATAGAGAAGGACGGAGTAATGAAGTCTTGGTCGGTAGATATAAGACCTGTTTTGGAATATAGATGGTCAACTTCATACTTTTAGGTTTAATTTTTATATGTAATAAAATAATATTTAGTTAGTAAAAATCATGTTTTCTAAATTTATATTAATTTTTTGTCATCAGCTTTTAAAACGAACATATTATGAGAAAAAAAATGAAAGAGTAAGTAAAATATACGGCAGATAAAAATAAGAAAAAAGATAAATAAATGAATAATAAATAAATAAAAAATAAAATATAAATATTTGATTTAAAATAAATATAAAAATAAGAGAAAAAAAATAACAAAATAAAATTATATTTCAACTGATCAAAATGCAATTTTAACTGTTTAACTCAATTGTTGTTGAATGTATTCAACTAATGCAATTTATTTGCATTTAAACAACATTCTCTTTTTCCCATCTATTTTCTCACTATCATTTTATTTCTTACTTATCAAACATTATGTAAAAAAATACACTAAAATACTCTCACTAAATTATGATATCATAATACCACTAGTGGGAATTATTATTTTACCATGGTAAATATAAGTATTTTGAAATAGTTATCTTCTATACCAATAACAATGCAACTAGTTGTCATGTCATGTTATATATTTTTAAAAATCATTTGATACTTCGTTTCATTAATTCAAATCAATGAATAAAATTATTTTATGATTATCTGTCAATTTGAATTAATGAAACAAAGTATCAAATGATTTTTAATTTTTTTTAAAATTTGTAGACTTAATCTATGCATTAAAAACGTTAAATTTAACGATTGGATAGTTAAACTTTGATGTAGAACACAAGAAATGTTACATGTAGTGACACACAAAAAATGTCACTATAGGTACAATATATGTAAATATATGTCTATTTAACATATAGTTACACATAATTTTAGTGTTGATTTTGAATGAGATTTAACAACATATTTTGTGTGTCACTATAGTCTATACCCACACTTTTTAATAATAAATCAACATATATTGTAGTTATTGTGTGGATAAAAGTAATTTTTAGTGACATATATAGTGCCACTATAAGGTGTGTGTCACTGTATGATAATTTTGTTGTAGTGTCATACATCCCAAGAGAAACCGACAAAAATAAAATAAATTAAAACATAACAATTCTCATATTCCGGTGTCACAATTATTAGAGCTCATAATCTAATGAACTAAACATGAACAACTATAAATAAGAATTAAGTTGTTGGAGTTTCATGGGTAGGTTTTTGAATGAATTTCTTTACAAGATCCCATGAGTGGAAGAACTTCTCCCCATGGATCACACACTACCATGAACTACTCTAAGGGTTTTAGCTTTGAAGCACACTTTATGTCGTTTTGGAAATTCCTTTCCTTGGCAAAAGGAAGAATAGTGTATCTCCTTGTGAGCAACATAAGAGTGGGTTTTCCGTGCTAACTACAAGGTGGATGAGATAATGTTTTGTGAGATGATACAAAACTCTAAAAGACTTTCTCAATTTCTTTTAGGTAGATCATAGGCAAGACTAGGTTAACCTATCTATTAATTGTTGTTGATCTAATTTGCCTCATTGTTGGGTTTGTACAATACAAACTCAATATCCTATCTATTTGATTAAACTTGATGTCAATTAATTAAATCACATTTAATTAATTAATCCTCAAATTTTCTCTAAACACTTTCTCTATGTGTATGACCTCATAAGTTTTCACTTAATTAGTAATAATATTTAAGTATCATAATATTAAATATTATATACAAATATTAACATCTAATAATGATGATATGAGTTTAACCTTCTATAACCACAATCATTGTAGGTTAATAATCCCTTCATCCATATGTCTTTAA